GATATGTTGAACATTAAGTCCCTACATAATAGATAAAAATATTTAAAATTATAGGGGCCGGGGAGATGGCTCAGTAGAATAAGCGCTTGCCTGGCAAGCACAAAGGCCTGAGTTCAATCCCCGGTTCCGCCAAAAAATAAATAAAATAAAATAGAATTAGTGCACACATGCACATATAGACACACAGAGAAGTCAGCAGCTCTTATCAAAACTATAATCTCAACAGAAAACAAGATCAGTTGTTGACCATCATGATGGCTACATAATTTTCAACATATTAACTTATAGATTATTTGTTAGTACATTATCATTTCATTGCACTATCTCATTTTATTCAAATAATATTCTCTTTAGGTAGAAAGACAGATATCACAATCTACATCACAGGTGATAAAATCAGAGGAGATGGGCCAGCCAGCCAAATAGCTCAGCGGGTTAAAGTGCCTGCAAGCAGGCACAGGGGCTGGTGGTTTGATCCCTGGAACTGTTGTGCTGGCCCCGCCCCCTGGGCTCACTAAGGTGGAGAATGAGACTGGGTGTGGTGGCACACACCTGTAATCCCAGCTCTTGGGAGGCTATAAACAGGCAGATCACTATAGTCCAATCTAGTAGTGAGACCCTAAACACCCTGCAGACCCTTCCCTAAAATACAGAAAAATGAAAAATAAAATAAAATCAGAGGAGAGAGGTTAAAGAACATCTCCACTATTACATAACTAGCTTTGATGAAGACTTGGTTGCTACAATGCAGCAGGACTTTGTATAGTGCCTAACATTTATTAAACCTTCAGGAAACGTCCATGATTAGTGCTACTGGCCTTGTTATGCCTTTTACTTAAACCCTATTTTTTATACTATGATTTACAATATCATACTTATTATCATTATACATATACAGGTTATGTGTTTATGTGTATGTGCAGCATGCACAACACAGTTTTTTTTTATAATTTTCCATATTAATATACTAAGGAACTTCCACTGAGACACCAGATACTTGCCCAAGATGAACCATCTAATGAATGATATAACCAGCTGCCTGCAGGTGGCTTTGCTGTACAGTTCAAGCTCTCCTGTTGATAATACATCTACCATCTCTTAATATTAAAATGAACATTATGTGTAATATTTAATATTAAATGTTAAGTGTAATATTTAAATGTATACTTATAAATATAAGAAAAAGATAGAACACTACATTCTTTACACACTAGATAATACTTTGCCAATCTTGTTTCTCAATATTATGAATTTACAGAGAGAAAAAAAAGGAGACAAAAGAGAATCCAAAAGTAGCTGGTTATAGTGAAAACTAAACCTCCACAAAAAACTGCAGGAATTATAGGATGAGACGTAAAAGTGACAGTAAACATGCACAAGGAATTTGTCAATACATGGAAGGATCTGAGTCCTCAGATAAAAATACATGACTGTAGCTGAGTTTAGGAACTGAGTACTATGAGGGTGCCTCACAGGCCTGCTTTTTCTCTGCTCCAAGTACACCCACAAAATTACTGCATGGAATTCTGATCAATGTACTTCAACTTGGGAATGGAAACACAACGTCATTTATGAACACTTCTATTTCTGTAAGTCAGACACAGAAAGACAAGTATCAGATGTTTTCTCCCATGTGTGAAAATTAAATAAATACTTAAGGCCTAAAAGTACAAGACAGACTATTAGGGAAGGAAATAGGGACAAGGGAAAGAGGAAGAAAGGAGACCCTAGAGACCTCAGCATAAGAATGTGCCTGACATTTTTGATATTTGCTTACAATAAAGCCGGTACATTCTGGCTTGGATAAAGCCACTTTACTCCTGACCACTGTTCAATCCCCTTCCTCTAACCTAAATTGTGGGATCCACAGGTCATACTGCCATCCAAGACCACACTTTCTTTACTAAGTACCTACTAAACTATACAGAAACCTGGATCCATCTATCTCTTTGATCTCATCATACTTTGGGACCAGTTCTCATATACCAAGACTGGGTTTTTCTGTTTTTGTTTTTGTTTTTTTAAGACTGGGGTTTTTTTTTAACAACCCATAGCCTTGTGACTTGTTTTATGAGAACATGACAAGGGAAGCAGACATGAACTTCCTTAGCTGTTACTCTCATCTCAGTAGGCTCTACCACATCCTCATGCTGTTATCTTTAGGACAGGCCTCTGCCCTGATCTGCCTCCCTTACTTCCTCTCCTGAAGCAACATACCAAAACCTTACCCTGTGCCTCTACTGGCCTGCTTCACTATCTCAGATACTATTTCTCTGAATCTCTGCAACTTCTCTAGAGGTTGTATGCCTTTCAGGCCACTAGCAGCTAACCCTCAATCCTAGCACCGGAGTCCATGGCACCACCCCCATTCCTTTCATCACGTATTCCTTCAACCATGGGCTCTCCTCGACATTTCATTGGATTTGTTAAAAAAAATTGTTTTGTTCTTATTCAACTAACAAAGACTGCTTGCAAGATACAGGGTAGAGACAGGTCCTTTCAGACTCTTTCTTCTCTAATGACAAGAATATTCTTCCACTGTGGCATTCCACAACCACAGCAGCTGTTTCTTATCCCTGAGCCTTGGCTCTCACTCTTGCATTTGCAAGTGTTACCCTGGCGAATCTCTCTCACTATATTCATAAAAGTTACCTGATATGGTCGATATTTATTATTCCCATCTTTAGATTATAAATTACGAAGAACAGAACAGAGGCCCACTTGTCTGTTTTCTGAGACAGCACCTGAACACTGATGTACAGTAAGATCTGATAAGCCAAACAACAAATCTCTGTCAAGCCAAAGCAGTCATGTAAGTTGGTTATCACAAAGTCCATGAACACTCAGAGTAGATAAACAATGTCAAGAATCAGCTGCAGGACTTAGGACTTCAATAACTGCTTATCAGAATTAGAGAATTGTAATTCTTCCAATTTTCCTTCCCAAGTAAACAAGTACTTTAACATTTCACATATTTGGGTTTCTTAAAAAAAAAAAAGAAAAGAAAAGAAAAGAAAGAAAGAGGAAAAAAGTACTTGAAAAGATATAATCTAACCTTAAAAGTTTTTTCTTCTTTGCTGAATCTTCAGGAGTCCTGGAAAGCTTGGCTGTCTGTTTCTGGGGTGTACACAAGATGGGTTCTGTTGATCTCATCCTTGGGTCGATCGCTGTGTCATTTATCTGCCTTGTACCCTGTCCCAAATCCACATCATATTTGTGAGGGGATTCTGAATCAATGAATACGACATTCTCTGTGTCATCTTCTTTCTCACTATGTGATGAATACTCCAAAATTTCTGCAGATACTTGCTGCGAAAATTAAGAGAAATAAAATTAAACATTCTCTATTTGAGCTTATAGGTATGCTGACATTGTATGCTAATTAATTAAGACTAAACTCCTTAAAACAGCTTCTTGGCTGAGGAGATAGCTTAGCAATCTAAGCATCTGCCTGGTGAGCGCAAGGACCAGGGTTCAATCCCCAGAACCTCATGCTTTGTCAGCCTCAGAACCCCAGGTGTGCCATGCCGGCCCAGAACCAGGCGTGACGACGAACGCCTATAATCCCAGCACTGTGGAAGCTGACAAGAGGATTACTACAAGTCTGAGCAGTGCAGCAAGATACTGAACCTAAGTAATTAATTAAAACAGCTTCTTATAGTAGTTATAGCTTGAATCTGTTTTGGCAAAAAAAAAAAAAAAAAAAAATACAACAGTAACCAAGCATAAGAATAAGAACTTAGGCAACCTGTAACTCAGATATCCCACAGAATTTACTGAAATCAGTACAAATATATTTCTACCTTCTTTCAAGAAAACAAAAGACAGGACTGGCCAGATAGCTCAACAGACTGAAGTACCTGCTTATGTTCCATCCCTGGCATGGTGCCTGACACACCCCAGGGGTCCCTGAGACAGCAATTGAGACTGGGTGTGGTGGTTCACACCTATAATCCCAGATCTTGGGAGGCTGAACACAGGAGGATCACTACTAGTCCTACCTATGTAGTGAGATCGATCTACGTAGTGAGATCCTGTAGACTCTATACTAAATACATAAAAAGAAAGTAAGACATCTGCCACAGGTATATGTGGTCTCTAAAAGTAAACTAATAACACTATCTGAAAGACTGATGATAATTATTATATTAATTCAATGAGAAGAAAGATTTGTACTAATAGTGTTTGGACAGAATACAATGTCTGCATCTTGTACTATTAATAACTACTATGAAGACAACAATATGCAATGTATTAATTATTGTAACTGTCCTACTAATCTGTTTTGAAACTCTCATTGCTATTTCTTTCTCAATAAAATTAATTTTTAAAAAAAGTAATTATTATAATCTGATTTTTATTAGGAAAAAGTATTTCTTGGATTTTAAAATACAATGTGATCACTGGGCATGGTAGCAAATGCCGGAATCCCAGCACTTGGGAGGTTGAAGCAGGAGAATCACTGTGATTTCAAGGCCAGCCCCAGCTACATGGTAAATTCAAGGTCAGCCTCAATTACACAGTGGGATCCTTCCTCAAAAAATAAAATAAAATAAATGATTTGACAAAAGAAAAATTATACAGAAATATATGGTTAACAAACTATATTCTTAGAGCCAGCCAAAATTGCTCAGCAGATTAAAGTGCCTCCAAGCAGGTGCAAGGGCAGGGGTCCTCCATCCGGAGCCTGCTGTGCCAGCCCCACCCCCAGAGCGGCTGAGTGGGCAATTGAAACTGGGCGTGGTGGTGTGCACCTATAATCCCAGCTCCTGGGAGGTTGTAAATAGTCGGATCATTACAAATCCAATCTAGTAGTGAGACCCTGAATACCCTGTAGACCCTTCTCTAAAATATAAAAAACAAAACAAAACAAAAAAAAACATTCTTGGTTAAAAAAAAAATGCTGTGAAGAGTAACTGGTAGGTGAATGGTAATCTATAATTTCAGGCACATGTAATTTGGGCTGTCACTAATGAGAAGTGATAAATCTATTTCTCATATATTATAGAACATACTGAATGTGTAGTATCCACATAGTATCTTAGCTTGTATAGGTATTAAAAAGAAATCTTCAGTCTCATCCTTGTTCTAGTATACTACAGTCAACTTAAAAACTGGAGGTAGAAGACCAACTTAAACTACAAAGCAATTTATAGACAATGCCCCAAAAAATGTGCATACAAAGGAGAAAAAAGAAGATGAAATATTACTGGAGACAGTAGTAGCCTAGACTTTACTTTCCCAGTAAAATTGATCCTGACACTTTTCCCAGCCTTGGCCCTACCCTTTATGAGGCAAGTGGCTTACCTTCTCTGTGCCTTTGTTTCATCATTTTCAAACTGAAGATGTAAGATCTAATGTAATAAGCACTTTATAAAAGTTAGCCATTCTTTTTAGTTCTGTGGTAGTTTAACCACATATATTTTTAAGCATTATATTTCTGTAAAGATTTTATTTCTAAGAGAGGACTTCTATATCATGGTCAATGAGGAACATAACAAATAATGCCTGCAGCAGAGAATCAAAAAGATACTGCCTTAACCAGGCAAGCAAAGCATGTATGTATTACACAGTCTTTATTAAAAGAATCAAGGTATACTAAGTGCCTTTGACAAAAGACAAGCAAATCACCCCAAAAGGTGGAAGAACTCTCCATGCATTGACAAGGAGGACCTTATAGACTTAGTGGATACCAGTTGTCTTGGCCTAAGCCTGACTGAGAGGAACTGTTCTTTCAAAAAAGGGGACTGTGCCTGTGTGTGCACATGAGTATCTGCCAAGAATGGTGATAGGAAATAAAGAAACATCAAGAAAGTCTACAGACTCATGTTAAGCTTCTATTTCACCCCTATGTTACAGAATCAGATCAATGTGAAATTAAAGGGCCATAAGTTTGGGGACAAGAAATATTTTTTTTGTGGCACTGGCAATTGAATCCCTATGCCTATTCTCCTTTTTCGTACAAATTCTTACCTCACTGTAGATCCTTAATCTTTTTTCCTAGGTAGTACTCGGGAATCTAATTATGCTACTTTTGTTTATCTATTTCAGCACTGGAAGACACAGATTCTACAAATTTCCACACCACAACAGTACTGCAGAACAGTGGTCCCCAACATTTTTGACACCAAGTACTGACTTCATAGAAGAGAATTTATTTGGGTGAGTGGGGTAGAGGGGTAGCTTGGGCATTAGATTTTCATGAGCAGTATGCAACCCAGATTATTTGTAAGCATAGTTCACAGAGGGGTTTACGACTCTATGAGTCTCTAATGTCACTACCAATCTGACAGGAAGTGGAATGGAGGCAGGAATGTGAGCCATGAGGAGTGGCTATAAATATAATTAAAGCTTAGTTCACCAGCCTGCTGCTCACCTCCTGTGTGAGAGGTTCAGTTCCAAACTAATATTAGCCCATGGCCCAGAAAGTGAAGACCCCTGCCATTGCATGTGAACTGTGCTTGATTCACTGAGCAACATATACCAATTTCTCTGTGGTATATACCAATGCATTTGCTTACAGGAAGTTCATTCATTCTCAACCAGTAGTTGTGAGATGGCTCTGAAGAACCACTGTCCTTTAGGGTTAGGGTTAGGGTTAGGGTTAGGGGTTAGGGGTTAGGGGTTAGAGGTCAGAGGTTAGGGGTTAGGGTTAGGGTAAAAAGAAGAAGAAAAAAAAAAACAAAGAAAAAAAAAAACCCACTGTCCTGAAAAGTACACATACCCACTAGCAGTATGTAAAACCTATGACACACAATCAGCCTTACTATTTTTAAGTTTCTAAATTTTTACCTGATAGATATAAAATGGTATCTCTCTCACATACATGTCCCTGATAATTTATAGGGTTGATCACCTTTATATTTACTTTGCAGTTCTTTATATTTCTTCTCCAGGGAACTGCCTATTTATATATCTTGACCCATTTTTGTATTAGGGGAGACAATGAGTCTTCTAATTACCTGGGTTTATGTGTTACTTAGAGGTTTGTCAGAAAATTATTAACTTAAAAGTGACAGAAGAAAAGTCTAGTACAAAACATGGATATTTGTCCAGTACCTTAAGAAAATTCTTCTAATCAATATTATTCTTGGTAAGTTGCTTACTGCTATTATGTATATCTCAGTTATTCTTCTCTCATTGCTGGGACAAATACCCAACATTCAAAATGAAGGAAGGAAAGGCTTATTTAGGTCACAGTTATTGGAGGTTTCAGTCCATAACCAGCCAGCTCCAAAGCAGAGCGGCACATAGCAGAGAGCAGCCTTTCATGGTGGCAGCAAAAAACAGAGAGCAAAGAGGAGTAGCAGCAACAATGGCGACAGAGAGGAAGTCTATCTCTCTGTCTTTCTTATGTTAGAGGGAAGCTATCCGCCCCAAGGCTGGGTTAGCACTCACACTCATAATCCCAGCAGTACTCAGACCTATACTCCCAGGCTGGGATCATGAATTAATCAAACTGTAGGAGTCCCTGCCCCATGACTGCATGAGGCTTTGGGGGGATAACTAGACACAAACCATAACATTGTGCCCCTGCACCCCCCAAAGTCTCATGCACATCCCTTTGTGCAAAAGGCATTTGAGTCCATCTCTAAGAGTTGCCAAAGTCCTAACAGTTTCAGTATTGCTGAAAAGTCCAAGTCCCAAGTCTCCTCCAAGATATAAGATGAACTCTTAGCTGAGCCCCTGTACAAATGAAAAGTTAAGCACCTGCAACACTCAAAGGCACTAGATAAACATTACCATTCCAAATGGTACAAACAGCAGGATACCAAGCATTGGGACCAGCACAAGTTCAAAATCCAGCAGGGCAAACATTAAATCCTGTAGGTCCACATGGAACATCCAAAGCAATCTGTGGCAAACTGTGAGCTCCGTGTCTCCACCCCTACAGCACTTTTGATGGTAGCTCCCATGGCTTCTCTCTTAGGCTGGCTTTGTTCCCTCCTTGTAGTTTCCCTTGGATGATCCATGTTCCTGGCTTTTGTAAACTTCTGGGGTTTCCAATGAATAGGCTTCTCACACTGCCCTCCCAGGGGCATACTGCCTGGCCTCCCAGGCCTTCTTCTGAAATCTAGGTGGATGCCTTTTTAACTTTAGAACTCTTGCATTCTGCAAGAGCCTAAAACCAACACCACGTGGATGATGCCAAGGTCTACTGTCACCTGGAGCAGTAGCCAGGCTTCCTTCTCTCTTGGCTATAGGAATTGAGTGCCTGAATCACTGGCATTCTGACCCTGATTCCAAATAACAAATTCTCCATGCTGGTGCCATTCTGGAACCTGGTGAGGCTGCTGTCGCCATTCTAG